CGGCTTATCGCAACGTCAGCCTGAAGGTGTTCTTGTACGCCGGAGGGTAAGGGGGTGCAGATAAAGGCCAAGAACCCAGGTGCCCACTCAGGGGAGCAATACTTCTCAGTACGTATTTGTATTCCGTGTCAGTGTGGAGTAGGAGCACATGCTGATCCGGCGAGATATTTCCATCCTCTTCCTTGTCTTATCACATCTTACTTACACACACACACACACACACACACACACGTTCATTGAATCTTCAAGACAAAAATTTCCAAACTTGTTCCCCCTCGAATTACTCGAGGAAACGTTTTGGTAGCCAAGAAGTATAAAATCTACGTCTAATTTTTTTTGTTTCCTTTAAAACGTTTAACGAAAAATGGTTAAGTACTATTTTTATGATCACAAATTTTTATATAAATTTGTGTAAATGATATTTTAATCAAACCGTAAGAAAGCTAAAATAATTCATTATTTAAAAATATTTTTCCATTTTCTGAAGTTGTTTCAAGACACTAATGATATCTCTGATGTAGCATTTCAGTATTCCTCGTTACGCTATAAATGAACAGTTATTCAAATGACATCCTCAATATGTATAATATTGCCTGTTGTCAATGGTTTCCTTAGATGTTCAGAAACTCCGTACAAATACAAACCACTGAAAGAGTTTTTATTTTGTCAGAAAAAAATAATGAAGTTTCGGTATTCTTAGTCACTACTTCAGAACAGAAAATGTTTGCTTCCCGGCGATCGCATTTTTCTTACTATCGACAGCATGATTTTTACTGCCACTGGCCAATACTTGAATAAAATAATAAACAATCAAAATTTCAAAGAAAAAATCTATATTACAGATTGGTATTCACGTGATTTTTCTTCCCCTTTACTAAAGGAAAGGTCGGGGTTTTGATTAATTGAAGATGAAAATTAACTATATTGCGGAAACAAATTTTTAATTCGGGTATATAAAATGAAATGATTCACTATAACACGCTGTGTATTATTTACACAAGAACTAAATAAAGATAACAAATATAAATAGTTAGTGAAAAGAAAAGAAATCTCAAATAAATTGAATTGCTTATAAATAATACTTTATCTCTCGTTTACTTGACACAAGAGTTCCTAATCCTTAGTGAATAATAAGAAATGTTCTTAGTCATAATACCTTTTTACCCACATTAACTTTCTCATTCACATTTCCCAAATTCATATTCAACAAAAGAATACATGCCAACGAAAATATCACAGTGAACTGTTACAAAATATCAGATAAACGGCTGGTATAAATGATAGATTTAACGTATAGTTTTTTTGACAGCCAAAGCTTCTAAAGGACAATTAATAAGTAATTAATAATCTCAATCTAATATTCCTTATTCCAGCGGAAAACTTTCTTCGTTACAATCTTATCAATTTCTGTTCTATTTCCCTTTTCCTCAGTTAAACACCAAACACCATGTCCCTTTCTCAGGTGGTCACGAAGAAACCGTTCGACGAGTGACCTTGGCACGAACGCAGCTCTCCGATTACAATCCACTGCCGCTACCTGTTCTGCGTTGCGAGAATCCGACACTAATTACTCGTCAAAACGCCTATATTTCTGCAGAGTAAAACTAAAATGATTCCTACTACATACAGCACTTGCATGTTCGAAGATTTACACTACGGGGAGTAAACTCGAATGCCGTAGTTACACCCAAATTTAATAGTAATCTTTATCTCAAGTGTAGTAGCGAACCTCGAATGCTGTCGTATAAAAGTTTTTGTTACCCACAGACATTTAGTATCTCGTTGAGTAGAAGTCAGAATCCAATAATGTCCACGTGTCGTTCATACAGGGTTCGCAAAATACATGTTTCTACACTATTTACATAAAATTTCCTTTTCAAACGCATTAAATACTTTTGTCTTTATGTAATCCACAAGTCGATTTGCCTCTTACCTCTTGTAGAACAGTAATTTCAGTCAGACGCAGTTCTGTTCGCCCGCTCCAGCAAACTCACGCCTTTCCTTGACGGTGTCTCGTAGCAAAAGAGGCCTGGCTTCCACTTTCACCTCGCCGAGTCGCAAATAGTTCAAATCGATTTCTGCATCGATTAATCACACGCACGAATGCAGTCGCGTTGCCGACGCGCTTAGTCACCTAAATAGCCGAAACGTTCGATGCTTATTTGTAAACGTACTATTTACTCAATCTTGTACTGATACAATACTAATATTTAAAAACACGCCAAGGTCAAAATCACGTGTAAAAGTATTAGTAGGAGTATTATATTATATACAAATATTAATTCGAAAACTTAAAAGAGTTAGTAATTCTAATGTACTGTTTCATTCACTTATGACCTAAATTTTAATTCTTAACCATGCACTTTAGAGACAGAAGGAAATGAAATTTTGCAATTTTTTCTAAACTTTTCCTGAGCTGAATGTGATTGCTAATGAGTTATAAAATCCTAATGTCTCTGAGGGGGGAGGTATTAAAGTAACATAAAGAGTCATGAAAAGGGTATGAAATTTCACTGGACAAATTGAGGAAGAAATAATTTGTGAAATCGGCTTCAAAAAGTAAATTTAACTTTGACAGTGTACCACTAACAAGGGATGCGGCATGACAAAGTGCACTGCAAACGTATTTTCAAGTGCAAATTTGTTTGTGGTATGAGAACAATTCAGGAGAATGGGGCTGAGAATGCGACAAAGTCTGAGGGCTGTCACGTGCACAAAGGATCATCGAACAGAATCGACAAAAAAGTTTATTTTTCGCAGTTGAAAAAAAGCTTTCGAAAAAGCTGGTTTGCTTTATTTTCCTGCTTACAAACACTGCTGTGATATCTCCTGCTCTATTGCGTCTGTTGCCACACCCATTGATAAATCAGATGCAGAAATGGAAATAATCGACTAGCAGCATCAGAAATGTGATGACGATCACAGTGAAGAAAATCTTAGGGGACAGCAGATGCCTAGTGAATTAACTCAGTAGAAAACATAATCAGTAAAGTAACGACGATACTTTTACAGATCCTTCAAAATATCCCAAATTGGAAATATTTTATCTCAAGTATGTCTTCTTTGTATTTCAACTTAATTATAAGAGAATTGTATGTATTTGTACCCAAATATAATATTTATATATAGATGTGTGTATTATTTATATATAGTATATATAATATTTATATATAAATAGTGCAAATGTAAAAAGGCCATGTTAAACTATCACTGAGTGGCACTAATAAGCATATACTAAAAATTTCATTCAATTCTTTTTGGTAGGTTTTAAGAAAAAGTACACTTTATGAGAAAAATATACAACTTACGGAAAACAGACATTGGAATTTTTGATGCATTCCAGCTCCATAACTGGGTTCTCCTTCATTTTCACGAAATGAATCTTCCAACTTCCACTTGAAATTTCTTCTTTTCTCTCTTGCTCTGCTTTCTATTTCCTTCAGTGACTTCTCAAATGCTTTTTTTCTTTCTTTGTTCATGTTCTTCATAGCATTTACAGAATGATACAGAACTGTTTTGGACAGTTTTTTCAACACTATGCATCTAGAAATATTGCCATCATTGAATGTGGCTACAGAATCATACACCCCAAAATGCAGAGTATTTATGGATACAAAAACATTCTTTGTAATTCTGGACCATAAACACTATTCACACATTGGGATTTTCAGTGCGACCGTGGAGACTATTTCTTAACAAATTTATATCAGAGAGGTCTCTGAAAATTGGCTTTATTTTCTGAACAATTAAATGTGACAAGTTTATGTTTAAATGTTTCTCCTGATTCTATTGCTGTGTTGTACTTTCATCAAGTTTTAGAACCTTTTGGGCACAATCCATGAATTGGTGTTTCATCACTTAAACCATTTTTACCATGTCAAGATTTGCCATCATCTTTTTTTTCATTTATTGTCCACCTTTAAATTTCACAAACGTGTGCCCACGCATTTTTGCACATGACCAATGCATTCTAATTTATTTATTTCTACATTTAAGCCATAAGGTTGCATTTCATTAACTTTTTTAAAGGCTTTAGAATCTCCATCTCCTAAATAATTTACATACCTTATGCCTTCATAATTCTGTGATCTTTGAAATAATTTTATAACTCCGTTCACTTCCATGCCACCACTGGTACCGTAGTAATTTGCCTGACAATTTTCAGAGTGCTCTCCTTTCACTTTATTTCTACACCTACAATGTTTGGACATTACTGTTACATCTAAAACTTTACCAGAGTCGACAATTGTAGCTGTAACCTTATTATTCAAATATGTCTGTCCCCTCTTTTGCCTGGAGCCATCGGAAGCAACTGACAGATCAAAACTATTGCTTAATTTCACAGCTTCAATTGCAGCACTTTTAATTGACATTAACGCCCAATCTTCTACTTTGTCCCTAATGACTTTATTATAATTTCCAAATCTTGTTGGAGGTGATGGCAAGTTCAATATACCATACAAAACATTTGCCGCAGTAGCACCTTTCACAATTGCTGGCAACCCATACACTAATCTAACATTAATTTCATAAAAATGATTTGCAGAATCGTCTTCACATTTCATGAAATTGTAAAAATTAAATTTATATTCACAATTCATGAAAGTAATTTGAAATTGTGTGGCAAGTCTACTTCGCGTTACAGTTTATAAATGTAAACCCCCAATTTTTACACATTTTTCAACTCACACTGTTCAAAAAGAAGTCATGGAGCAGATTTATTTCAAATATTTCATTAGTGTCACACTGACTGCATTGCTGATGAAATATATTGTACATTTCTGCAGTTCCTTCCAACTTCTTTTCAGAAAGGTTCGCACACCCAACATCATCCTGCAATGTGTTTTCATCTGAGACTGTTGATGCACTGCAAACTTCTTGCGTTTTCTTTATACCAACGCTTTTCCTCTTCTTAAACACGTTCAAATAATTTCTACCCATAATTAATATTATAAACTCTACGCAAATACCACGAAACACTCTGAAACTGCCGCACTAACCTCTAACCACTCTCACAAACAAAATCACATGAATATCACGCTTTCTGTATGTGTAAACATACAAACCGGATAAGAACAAATGAAAATTGAGCAGGCAGACAAACCTCTGAAACAGTAAATCCGTGTAAATGGCGGTAGTTTCAATTTTTTTATATTTTGTAACAGCTGTCAAAATGACGTTCACTCCGCCATTTCACCACACCCACTCACAATTTTTAAAATCAAATTGAGCTGTCTTAAATACGTAAAATATGCACGATTTTAAAGAGGAAAATCTCTACAATTGTAACAGCAAAAGAGGTAAAAATTTTTGTTTTTTAATTTTTAACCTACCGGAGCCCCTTGAAACGAAATAAAAATTTCCATAAAACTCAAAATGAAAGAAAAACAAGCCATTCTGCATTTTGTTTTTCAAGAACTATAAATAATGTTTTTATTAATTAGTAATATAAGATATTAACTTCATCGTCATTTTAGTCGGATTATCCCATCCATTCTGAATATCAGCATCTCACACTATGTTTCAATGTAATGAAATATTTAAGAACTTGGGACTGTATTAAAATTACAACATGTATTAAAACTGTCAAATTTAACGTACGCGTAAATGTGTGAATATATATAAGCTGTAAAAAGTTTGAGCATAAATTGCGCAGCATTTGCAACACAGTTGAATTGTATGTGTACGGATTCCAACGGGGGCCAACTAGGCGCACACACGTCCAACAAACTGACTATTGCGAGCGGCTTCCGGGTCGTGATGTAGCGCGCCGTACGTCGCCCTCCGCGGTCGAGCGCGAGGGCGCAGGCGACGGCCGCGGCAGCGACGGAGCAGCCGAGAGGACCTCGAGAGGGCCTCGAGAGGGGTGAGGGGGAGGGAGGGCTAGTTCGGATGCAGAAGTCGCGGAGGAGTGGAGCCTCCTCCACAGCGGCGGCGGTTGGCCGCCCGGCGCGCGGGCGCGCGCGCTCCGAGTGGGCTAATGAATAACGCATAAAAGGGTCGCAAAAATCAGGAGGTTGCGGCGGGCGAGAGAGAAGAGACAGAGAGACAAAGAGAGAGATAGATAGATAGATAGAGAGAGAGAGAGAGAGAGAGAGAGAGAGAGAGAGAGAGAGAGAGAGATGGAGGATGTGGTTCGGGGTGGGGGTGAACAGCGCGGTGGCGGTGGAAGCAACGGCTATGTTGGAGGGGGAAAGGGTGTGCTGGGAGGGGAGGTTTGCAGTCGTTTTGGCGAAACGGCGAAACGTTTTGACGGAAACATGGAGGAGGTGGCGTCGTTGGATTCGAAATCGCCGGAGATGACGGTGGTGACGGCAGGTCGGGCAGGGAAGGTTGAGGCGGAGGGGGTGGTACGGACGGTGCGAGCGGCGCGCCTAAGCAGTGCAGACGGAGCCTGGAATGGCGGTGTGGGAGCGGAGAGAAGTGGTTCGTGAGAAGCGTGGTGCAGGAGAAGCATGCGAGGCCAGAGGCGGAAGGGATAGAGGAAGCGCTTACAACAAGGATGACGAAGGGGACGGCGATGGCAAAAACAGCATTGGGGACGAAGCTGGGGGCGGAGGGTGTAGGTGGGACCGGAGAGGCAGGCAGGGGCGAGCAAGGAGGCGGAAGTGCGGGAAACGCGATCGGGGTTGGTGGTGGCAGGATGGTGGCGGGCAAGGGTGTTGGGTCGGCGGGGTGTGGGCGGCGGAGTGCGGAGCGGCGGGTGGTTGAGGATAGTGTCGCGATGGGATCTGTGGGAACGACTGACGCGGCAAGCGGAAGCGGTGGCGGCAGAGGTCGCGGAGCAGGCGTGGATATTGAAAAAGGCGGTTTGCTTAAACGGCAGAGAGAGCGACGTGGGTCGCGCTTGTGCGCAGAAATACGTGTGGAATAAACGTCCCGCAAAAAGGGCGTAATCGAAAAATCCTTTCCTTCCGCGCGTGCAATGTATTCATTGGTTTGTTACTCGGAATTTCCTTTTTGAGAGTTTATAGAGGGGAAATCAACACTGGAAAAAATCGCTTACCTTTTCAGAATGAAAAAAAAAAGTAATGGGAGTGAATGAATTCATACTTGAAAACGTTAGTAATTCTTTGAAGTGAATGTTTGAGGAACGAATTTCTGCATACTTGTTTGAGACACATTCATGTATTAGAAGCACTTCATTCATTTATCATGTTAATTCCATACATATTTCGTAAGACGAAACAAGTAAATTGAGGAATATTGTTTTAAAATACTGTGAGAAAATCCGTACCATAGGAAGTAATGCGGTGTAAAAATATTAAGAACATTTATATCTCGAGATATCTCAAATATAAAAAAAAATAACCCAAAATCAGGGACGTACAAAATTTAACGTTCGTTAGATAAAATCGATTACCGGAAATTAATGTGTTTTAATACTAGACTAAAAAGTTTTGTATTGGTTATACTCTTTATTATACTTATTTGGATTCTTTTTGCAGCAATTATTTCTTAACGTGCGCTAACAAAACTGCGCTGCAACTACCGTTTGTCCCTCACCCTCTTCCCCCTTCGTACTTGCATAACAACGCAATATCTCATGCTAAAACTATTATTCTCTTAATATACCATCCCGGCGGTTGGCCGTTATTCACAGCGGCCCAGCGCCATCGAATCCCTTGCGCCCACCACAAACGCTCGGCCACCCTCCGGCCTCACCTCCACCCTCACCACACCCTCACCACCACCCTCACCCGCAGGAGCCACCCTCACCCAAATGGAGGCCCTCTCCTTTCTAGACCTTGCTAGGATATTACACGGGTAAATCAGGCCACTTTTCTAGGAATGAAGTAGGCAAAGAAAGACAGAAAAAGTAAGGTTCTAGGGAAGTGCTTCTAAGGACAGCAAAACAAGAGTTTAAAAACGAAATAAATCTGATACATCCCTTCAACTATAAAACAGGCTTCGATCAATGAATTCACACTTTAAATTTCTCAACACTTCTAGGAATGTACTTTACATTCACGTAAAGCCCTAGCAACAGTGTCATCCTTCTGAAACTTCTGACTTCATAAATTATTTAACATGTAGTCAATTACGGATCATTAGAATTTGTACGAATTCAATCAAAATTGAAAGTCCTGGTGGAAATATAAAGGACATACATTTAATATTACATTTCGTGAGAGCCTTTTACGAAAACGTTGCCACCCAGGGTTCATCACTGGACCCAGTCTTACTCTAGCCTTACTGTTTCAACAAAAGTCGTTACCACCAGTGCCATCACCATCCACTGCTCCCACCATCGATCTCCGCACCATCACCACCACCGTAATCGCGCCTTCTATGCGAAAGCGCAGCGTTCACACGCTCAGGTTTCCAAATATCAATTAAGCGCGACCTGTATTGTTCGAGAACAAACGGCGGCGGCGACGAAGGCTGCGGCGGAGGGTGCGGCTGGCAGGGCGGGCGGAGGGATACGCAAGGGCGTTAGGGTTTCCTGGGAGCCCATGAAGGGCCCTTGTGGTCTCGTGGGCAGCCCCCAGCATCCAGTGGAGGGGGAGGAGAAGAGGTGATGCAGAGGCGAAATGAATGTGCTCTCACATTGGTGGGCGCAGAACAGGTTGGATTCTGCTGCTGAGAATGATGGCCTCGGATGGCTTGGTAAGACGGCGTGATTATGAAATCAACTGCACGAGAGTTTGCGGTTTGAATGGTAGTAAATAATTATGTATTTATTTGTTCTCTTCCTTTGGAGTTTCAATACCTTTTTCAGTTAGTTTAACCATTTCCTTAAATGAGATACAAACTATTTGCGATTCTCTAGAGATCAGTAATGTACAACTTATCATATTTTACAATGAGCTAGTTGGAGTTACACGGCGTTTTCAATAATTTCATATCACAATGTTTGAAAGGGTCGCGAGCACGTTTTATATATTTCCATATGAATTTAACATATGATTTCATAATATCTGCTCTTCGTCTTAGTAAATATATAAATACCCAGTAAATCCGCAGGCGACCATGCGAAGAGTTGCAGGAGTCATATATTAAAGGAGATTGAATAATTAGAAATGATGGGGATGCTGAATAACAATGTTGTGATGAATGAAAGGTAGAGATATGACTCTTGACAAAATGTACTTCAAATTCGCCCCGTCAACAACTGATTTTTTATTACAGATCTAATACTGATGATGGAGAGTGTCTGTAATCTGAGATGGTGAATGAAGTATTGTGAGGATGTTAATGAGATTATTATTATATCAATAATTAAATGAGCTGCAGAAAAACACCTTATATCTTGAGGAAATGCCCCTCTAATTTCTTGGACCATAAATTCAATAGGGTAAAAAAGTGTTTTCAATTCCTATAATCAGAGTTCGAGATCAAGCGAGCAGGACGTTATGCTATGATCGTCTAGTTCATTTCTTTCACTCACATATTATGTCAATCACTTCAGTGGTTTTCAATCCTATGTCACAATACGTGCTGATATGAGCGTACCGCCTTTGGAGGCTTTTGAATCATGGAGGAACGTCGGGATATATGGAGGTGAGTGACGTCAGGATGAGGAAATAATTATTGCGCGCAGCTAATGGTATTACTCCTTTATCCACGTGAAACATATTAGAAAACACCACTAAAATGATCGAGAAGAGCAGTCAATTCAACAGTTTTGTCCTAGTAGTTGTAGACTTCGGTCGAACTATTTGGCTACTGTCGAAAACGCATATTCGCACCAGCAGCAAAACAAAATTACAGTTCCAAGAAGTACCTGCGATGGACTACCAACTTAGAGCGTACGTAATCACACCCGGTCATATTCTTCAAACCACTAAATCCAAAAGAGGATGCGACAAGACCAAGCAATGCTTGAGGCTGCTCTTTTGGCACTGAGTGACGAGTGCCCCAGGGCGATGCGCCCGCACCCCTAGCGCATTCCGCGGTGCGGCCGCGACCACGGGCAGCGGAGGAGGGAAAGTGTAAGGGTGAGGGCGAGAGCGTGGACGAGAACGACTGCGAGGGCAAGGCGAGGACAAATGCGAGGCCAAAAAAAAG